ATGTGTGTGCTAGGAAGGTTGCCGACGTGCTTCTCCACCGATCCGTGCTTGCCCCTGTGGGCTTCTCACTTGTGCTTTCCTCTGGTGCGAGGCGGGGATTATCCACATCCACCGCCTGGGAACCGACGTCCCGGGGGTCCGAATGTGTCCATATCCACCGCCTGCCGAGGCTCCGAAAACTGACCCTCCAGGCGGCGGATATGGACAAATTCCCGCCTCGGATCTAGGGGACTCGGATCTTGGTGTATGCGGACGGGATCTTGGTGTATACGGGATCTTGGTGTATACACTTTTCGTGGCTTCCCTGGGAAAGCGGGGGAAAAGTAGGCGCCACACCACCCCGACGTCGTCCCCGACCCTCCAAAAGTCCTGGGATTGAAAAACATTGGAGGCCTGGAAATTGGCACCAACACCAGCACAGGGGGTTGCCTCCACATGGTGAGGATGATCCTAGATGTCGGTGCTGGTGGTAATATTTCGGCCACCTTGGAAGTCAGAATATTGCCACCATCACCGAGATCGGGATCGCCTTCCCTCGGTGGAGGCACACCGCCGATATTGGTGTTGGTGTCAACTTCTGGGCCTGCGAAAACAGCCCGGGGGAACCCGATGGCACCCTGGAGGCAGGCAGGGTGCTTCTTGGCGTGGGTCAGGAGGGAAAAAGAACACAGACACAATTAATCCTCGATTCCCCAGAAAATTAGGAAAATATGGGAAGTGGGGGGGAAGACAGAAACCCAGAACATATGGGAAAATATGGGGAATCTTTTTATTTGTGTGTGTTTATTTGTGTGTTTGTGGGCCCCTTCCTCTTCGAGGGGGCTCGTCCGACCCCTGGGCTGCCCACCTGGACGGGTCCGGCCGAGGTCGGGCCCGCCCGCCGAGGCTCCGGAAAGGGACCCTCCGGGCGGTGGACGTGGACAAATTCCGGCCCCTCGGATCCAGGGGCCTGTCCCCCTGCAGGGGGGTTTTGGGCGAAGAATAAAAAACAGTCCAAACATACCCCAAGATGATCCACGGTGGTCGAAGAGTCGCCCCCACATCGTCTTTTGACTGTTCTTGGATACTCCTCCTGCAGAGGGACAGGCCCGACCTCCCATCCGTGCTTTCCTTTGGACGCCCGACATGGGTACGGAAAAAATGGGCACAATGCCCAACAACACATGTTGTCCCCAAACCAACAGCGGCCGCTGTTGGGCAGGCGGCGGCGTGAACAGCGAATCCTGTTCAAAATAATTTTTGTTTTGATCCGCGGTTCGAGAGCGCACCTCTTCCGGTCGAAGCTAAGCGGGCCGCGCACAGATTTAATCAACGGAGGGGGGAAGGCAGAAGGAGGGGCCTCACGTCAAGGCCAGGAGGGGGCAAAGCCCCGGAATCAGGCGGCGCCGAAGACGTAGTTCAGAATGAACAGGAACTGCTCTCAGGCATTGTACCCATACGCTGGAGCCGGTAAAAAAACGGCGTCGGAACTGGCCAAAAAATGGCAAAGCGGAATCGGTAAAAAAGCGGCCCTGCCGTTTCCAGGGCCCACTAAGGTCCAGGCCCCCTGGAGGAAATCTGGACGCCCGAAATGGGCACGGAGCGAATGGGTACAATGCCCAACAGCAGTTCCTGTCCATTTTGAACACTACGTCTTCGGCACCGCCTGATTCCGGGGCTTTGCCCCCTCCTGCCCTCCGTCCTCCTTCCTCCTTCCCCCCTCATCCACAGCAGATATCAGCACGGTCTGGATTAGTTCAGGCATACAACTGCCGTCTGACCATTTGACATGTTCACAACCTCCAAGAGGTATTCCGTGACATATTCACTCTGCCGTTGCAGAGCGCTCGTCGGCAAAAAAAAAAAAAAAAAAAAAATGCCCTCCGGTTTATAAAAAGGCCCTGTCGTTTCCGGGACCCACTCAGGCCTGGACGGGTCCGCCGAGGTCGGGCCCGGTGCCCGCTCCCGGGGGCGCCCCGTGCGGCGCCCCCGGGGGGCGCCCCACGGGGCGGCCGAGAGGCCGCCGGGTGCCGGCCCGTGGGGCCCTGTGGCAGCCTCGGGTCGGGCCTGGCCCCCGGCGCAAAAAAAAAAACATTCAAAATACACGAGCAATGCGCAAGAATGCGCATTAAAAAATGCAGACAATACGCAAAACATGCGCACACAAATCTGACAAAATCCAAAATACACAAAAACAAAAAAAAAAAAAAAAAAAAAAAAAAAAAAACAACAAAAAAAAATGCGCCAAAAATAAGCCAAAACATTTCAAACAAATGCACAAAAAATGCGCAAAGTGGCAGCCGCAGGTCGGGCCTGGCACCCTGCAGGGGGATCTGTGGGCGAAAAAGTAAAGCATGCGCAGAAGACGCCCAGAAAAGAGGCTCAAAAAAGTACTCCAAAAAGATCGTCCCCCGGACTACTGGTGGGCTATTTTTGAACATTTCTCCCTAGAGGGACAGGCCCGACTCCATGGAAGCCCCGTGGGCGCCTCGTGCGCCGGGCGGCCGCAGGGCTCGAACCACACCGCTTTGGCCACACGGCCGACGTCACGCCGCTTGCACCCCACCAGCGAAGCCGCTCCGCCTGTATCACCTGGCGTACACCGCATGGCTTGCGCCGCACTGTGCATCGCTCAGACGTCCATTCCCTGTTTTTGTTCGGTTTCGTGCGTGGTTTTTTCGCCAAATGATCAAGGATGCTCCTCGATGGTCCTCGCCGAAGGAAAACTGCACACGTCCGAGCGATGCCAAGCGCACAGCGTGCAGCTGCACGTCACGGCCGGCAGCAAGCGGTGGTTGTCGCTGCATAGCTTGCACCACGCAGCTCGCACCACATCTTTGCGGGCCCCGGAAACGGCAGGGCCGTTTTTCACCGTTTCCAGAAAAGTGTTCCTGGAAAATGGAAACGGCAAAAAAACGGCGACCGGAAACGGCAAAAAAACGGCTCCAGGATTGGAGCCGGAGCCGGAACCGGTCAAAAAACGGCGACGGAACCGGTAACAAAAACGGCGTCGGAACCTGCCAAAAAACAGCAAAACGGAACCGGTAAAAAAACGGCCCTGTCGTTTCCAGGGCCCACTAAGGTCGCTACATAGCTTGCACCACGTAGCTCGCACCACATATACTACACCACGCAGTTTGCATCACATAGCGTACACATACACAGTGCCATAGTTCACTCGTTGGGGCCCACGCTGGCGAACATGTTGTTGTTCCAATTGGTTCGTGAGCCTTCGCAGTCGTCCTCACCCTCCACTTCGCCAGCCCAGTTGCGCTCCCAATCCTCACCTTCCCCCTCGTAGCTCCCTTTCCTCCGCTCATCATCTCCCTCCCACTGACAGGCCTCACCCTCACCATGACCCTCGTCCTCACCAGGCGAGAGAGATGCAGGAGAAGTGTTTAAAATGAGGGTTGACGAGATTGGAATGAGAAGGGGGAGGAGGAGGAGGAGGAGGAGGAGGAGGAGGAGGAGGAGGAGGAGGAGGGAGGAGGAGGAGGAGGAGGAGGAGGAGGAGGAGGAGGAGAGGAGGGGGGGGGAGGAGGGGGAGGAGGAGGAGGAGGAGGGGGGGAGGAGGGGGAGGAGGAGGAGGAGGAGGAGGAGGAGGGAGGAGGAGGAGGAGGAAGAGGAGGAAGAGGAGGAGGAGGAGGAAGGGAAGAGGCAGGAGGAGACATGAGAAAGAGAAAGGTTGGAGAGGTGGATGAGGAGCGGTGCGGAAGTGGGTTTCGTAGGAGGGTTGAAACAGGTTTAGTTAAAAGGATGAGAAAGAGCAACGGTCCCATTTTTCTTGCGGAGACTGAATCTAGCGAAACTCTGGACTCGTCATGGCCAGAGGCTTTGAGCTTAAAGGCATGCCTTAAAACTCATTCTCCCCGAGGGTTGGGGGGGCGGGAGACCAGAAACAACTTGAGCGGAGATAGGCAGCAGGGTGTTGGCGAGTGCACACCAGAGACAGGCAGAATATCCCATTTGCCCAACATCACACGTATGGCCCCTCTGCTCAACCCGTTCTAAAACCTCCAGAGCAACGGTCCCATTTTTCTTGCGGAGACTGAATCTAGCGAAACTCTGGACTCGTCATGGCCAGAGGCTTTGAGCTTAAAGGCATGCCTTAAAACTCATTCTCCCAAATCATCCCGAAGCTATCCAGGTTGGATGTTCGCTAGGGTGGGGAGAGAAAGGGTGGGAGTGACAAGCTCGCTTTTCAACAGTACTAGCTAGGAGGGTAGAGACCATTGCCCGTGCCAGACCAGGAGGGTATTCAGAAGCAATGCGGGTGCGGCGGAGGCCACCAGGCCCCCCGCCGCTGAGTTGCCAATGGGGTTTTCCAGTCTTAGAACATATACAGCCCTTTGGTCGGCATCGACGGGTGAGCTTAATTATATCTTCCCGATTCACGTGTGCACAGAGGAGCCGTGTGGGCTTCTTCCATCTTGCTCCATACTGACACTGGTCCAGTTCTACCAGAGAGACATGTTTATGGTGCGATAAGTCGCACACCTCAGCAGTATGCCACAGCCGGCTCGTCAAGGGATGTTCGAGGATTACGGGAACCCCCAGCTTCAAAAAGAATCTGAAGAGAGAAAGAGCAACCCGAGCGAGGCGGTTGCCTAATTCCACTGCATCGGCATCGGCAGGCGTCAGCTGGGAGGCGGGGAAGCCCCATGGCTCCTCGCGGCTGCGCACAGGTCTCGACCTGTCGTGCGCGAGGGAAAAAGTCTGGCACGGAGGGGCCATTGTCGCGGCCACCAGCCGGCCAGCTCGAGCGTCAGCTTTGATCGCCCGCAGCACGGCCGGCGACAACAAGTCCTGCCATTTTGCATCATAGATGACGTCCCAACTCCTCGCACGGAAGCCCTCGGCCTCGGCCGCCCGAGACACCGCTCGGCAGCCCGCGAAGAGATCGCCAAGGTACTGGCCCTTGCCGAGGCGCGAGCGGCGAAGGCGGCCACGAGAGCGGCCTCCACGGTATCCCAGGTGCAGCTGACTCACCTGCGCCACATCTGCACGTTGTGGGGCCGGTCCGTCAGGATGAGTGCCAGCTGCCTCTCCGCCTCCTCGCACGTCGCGCGCAGCCGGGGGTCGAGCTTTGCATAGTCGCTGCCGAGCCTGCTGCTGTGCTCGTAGCGGTGCATTGACTTCGCCTGCGTCCACTCCCCGCGTCGCTGCGCCGAGGTCAGACTGCGCCAGCCTTTCGCCAAATCGATGCTGGCGCCCGAGTGTCTCATCTGGTACAATGTCACTGGGGCCACCCCGAGGTCCTGCGCCGCCTCCTTGAGCAGCGTCGTTGCCTCGGGGTAGCTGAAGTTCCACAGCGGCTCCTTCGACGTCGTCGAGGCCAGCCGCTCGAACACCTCGTCCAAGCCCTGGAGGTACGGCGAGTCCAGGGGGCAGCCCTCGTCGAAGTGCCCACGCTTGCTGGGCCTCTTCCGCTCCAGCGGGTGGGTCAACAGGGCCCAGTGCCTGCTGACACCAGGCGACGGAGGCACAAGGTCGCACCGCCGGGCGGCCAGCAAGGTCGAGGGCCGACCATAGATCGATACGCCTATCATCAAGAAGATGCCCAGGCGTAGGTGTCCCCGCTGCGCCAGCCTCCAAGCCAGCCCGCACCAGACCGGGAGGGCAAGGGCCTTCCGCCGCCTGCCCGGAGTCAGCCTGCGCCAGGCCTTCAGCGCCCGCCAAGTCCGCGGCAGCTTGCGACCTCCCACGCGACCGAAGTCCGGGTTCGCGCTGACCCAGGCTGCGACCGTCTGGTCCCCGTAGTTGCTCTGCTCGCCCTGCAAGTAGTTCTCGGTCATGTAGTTGCACATGAGCTCGTCGATCTCCGTGTCCGGCTTCGCCAGGATCTGCCTCCGGCTCAGGCCGACACGCGAGTAGAAACGATCGAGATATCGCTGGTACCTCACCTGCGTCGCCTGGGTCACCGCCAGGGTCTCCAGGAGGCTCACGCCCTCGCCCTGCGCCGCCAGGATAGCATCGGCGTACAGCTTCGCCCGCCGGTGCGCCCTCCGCGCGCGCAGCTGCCGCATTCGGGCCCGAGTCCGCCCCAGCTGCTCCACCACCGAGTCGGAGCCGCTGGAGCTGCTGTCGCCCTCGGCGTCCTCCCCGGCGTCTCCAGCGAGGTCCAGCCCGTTCGCGTCCCTCTCGTCGAGGGCCGAGAGATGCCGTCCGGCCTGGCTGGCCCTCTTCTTCGAAGGCAAGAGGGGGGCCGGCGCCAGTATCCGCGCCCGGCCCAGCGCCCCGGGGCTGGCGATCGCCCTCGCGCCGCTCGGGTCCGAGCGCGAGCACGCCGGCGCTGCCACGGCCGCCAGCGCACGAGTCCGCGCGGCCGGCCGCCGAGCGCCCGCCCGCTGAGGGGGCGTCCGCGCCCGCGGCGCCGGCCCGGCCAGCACCCGAGCCCTCTCGGGGGCCATGGCCCGCCGTCTCTGGCAAGTCGGGAGCCTCGGGAACCTCAGCCAAGCGAGAATGGTTTGAGCCAAAACGGCTACGGAGAGGATCCCGCGCATTGTCTTTCACAGGGACGGCTCTTGGAGGACGGGTGAGCAGATTCAGATCGGCCTGGAACTTCTCATCAAGGAGGGATGTGAGAATATTACTGTCACTCTCAGAAAAAACCCTGCTGCCTTCATCGCTTTCATTAAACTCCGAGGGGATCCATCGAATAGCGGGTGTAAGCCCCAACGCAATTGCATAGGCATAGAATCGACGGATCTGAACCAACAAGCTGAAGCGGGACGAACGAGCCCTGGAAAAGGATAGCACCACAGACATATTGTCGGACAGAAAAAGCTGTCGCACACAGACCCCGTGCGCGGTCTTAGCCAGCCGCTGGATCGATTTCACGAGGGCCCTGGCTTCAAGGATCAGGATGTCCTCAGCAAAACGCCAGACCCCGGACCGGACGGTCTCCCAGGCCCCCTTTCGGAGCCACTGCCAGGGCACTTCAGCGAACCCGGGGTCGAGCTCCCACGAGGACAGGGGGTCAGACGCAAGAGAGTCAGGATTATCCATATCCGCAAAACTGCACAGAGCGCCCGAGCTGTCCCGAGCAAGGTTGGCGGCAGCGAGCGCGCTCTCTCGCGCCGGCCTGCCCAGCGCCGAACGAAAGCGGGCTCGCTCAGGCAGCCGGCCGACCTGCTCCACCACGTGCTGCGGCCAGAACGACTGCGCCATGCCCCAGCCGCTCTCGCTCGCGTCGGTCTGGAGCACGCAGCAGTTCCATGGCCGCCACCAGTCCTGAACCATCAGGGTGAGCAGCCCGCGGAACATCTTGATCTCCTTCACGACTTCTGCCCACAGGCGGGCAGGCTCCAGGTAGTGCCGCTGGATGAAGCGGTACGAGGCGTGCCAGCAGCTCAGCGACCCTCGGAGGGCCAGCCCGCAGAAGGTGCAGTGGCCCAGCACCACCTCCAAGGCGCGCCCTGTCGCCCGGCCGCGGGCCAGCAGGCCCCCCAGCCCCAGGTACACCTTCCAGAACCGCCCGTCGCTCACGCCCGACCTCATCAGCTCGAGGTCAAGCTTGGTCCCGAGCGCCTCGCTCGCGCCCGAGCCCACCGAGCTCTTGTGCAAGTCCAGGCCGACCCCCTCAAAGAGACCAGTCCAGCTCTCGAGGGCGCTCTTGGCGAGGCCCTCCGAGGGGGCGAGCACCCCCATGTTGTCGACGTACACGTAGGCACCCCCGTGCAGCCCGGGCTCAACCTCCACGACGAGCGGAGGTCCGCGATCACTCATCAGGACCCGCTCCGAGATTGCCACGTCTCCCCCTGGCCACGGATCAGACCGGACCACCCTCTCCTCGTTCGCGTCTTGGGCGAGGAAGAGGGACCAAGAGAATCCCATGGGGAGAGCCCCGATGCAGGGGAAGACGAGGGTGTCGCAGCCCAGCCTCGTCCCCTCCAGCTCGTGCCCCTCCAGGCCCAGGACGTGAGCCGGAGCGGCGGGCAGCGAGAAGAACTTCGCCAGGCTCACCGGGATGCGCATCCTGTAGAAGCAGTCCTTGACGTCCGTCATGCCCAAGAAGAGCTTGAAGCCGTTCAGCAGCTCCTCGCCCCGCGCCGAGCCGAAGGCGACGCCCTCTGGGAGCCTCACCTCCACCCTGCCGAACCCCTCGCACGACAGGAGCTGGACGCTGGGGGGCACGCCGAACCACGCGTTCGCCCGACGCGCATCCACGATCATGCGCATCTTGTCGCTGTCGGCCTTCTTCACGAAGAACAGGCCAGCCTGCTCTGCGGGAGACAAGGTGGCAAGCAAGAGCCCGCGGGACGAGAGGTCCTTCAAAAAGTTGTGGTACATCTTCTTGTTCCGCTTCAGCAGCGGGTCAAAATAGGGAGTCGGCAAGTTGTCAAAATCGATCTCCTCGATCGGCCGCCTCATACGCTTTTGATTCTCCTTCAGGTAGGTGCGGCCGGCCTCGCCCACGATATCGTCCACCTGGAAGCAGCCGACAACCGAAGGGGGCAAGGACACGCGCTCGCGGACGAAGGAGGCCAGGTTCCTCGGGGAGCCCGACGTGTCGTAGATCGAGCACCCCTTGAGCAACGCACTGAGCGATGCCTCTTGGGACGGACAGGGGTTGGGAGCTGCGGCTTGGCGCCGAAGAGCTTCGCTGGCCACCCACTGTACGATCCCAGCATGCTTGCCCCCCATGGCGTCCAGGGAGCGCGGCGGGCACACGTCGTCAGGCTCCCATCCAGCAAGCCAGTTGAGAGAGTCGATCGCGCCGTTCACCAATTCGTGCTCGCGCCGCCGCCGAGCGCCAGCAATCCGGGCGCGGCTGCCGCCCCTGCTGGCGGGCGGCCTGGCCAGGCGAGGGAGGGGGAAGAGGTCCCTATCCCCGCTCGCCAGGGCCAGAGGCGCTCGCCGGGCCGATGTGTTAGCCCAGCCGGCAGGGGCCCACTCCGCCGGCTGAGACTGGTCCGTCATGCCTGCACGGGCGGCGCGAGGGCACGCGCCCGGGCCTTATTACCCCGGCCGCCCCCGCCGCCGCCCTTGCCACCCTTGGCCGCATCATCGGCCCCCTCGCGCGGTGGAACCCGCGCGCCAGCCGCACCAGCAGCGACCGCCTCGGCCCTCTTGTCGCCCTGCATCAGCTCGTACTCCTCCTTGGCGCGCCTCGACACGTGAGACCGCAAGCCAGGAGCCATCAACTGGTCCACCTCGGTCAGCGGCGAGAGGTACTTCGCGTTCGAGTACGAGGCCGACCCGCTCTTGTGCGCGTCCACCAGCAGGTTCAGCCGGAGGGCGGCCACTTCCAAGCAGGCCAGTCCTCCGAGGTTGATCTGGTCAAACTCTCCAGCTTCCTCCAAGATGTCGCACAACACTCGGAGTTCGTGCGCGACTCGATCCGTAGAAGCTATCCCCTTCTCCCTGAGAAAGCGCTCCAGCCACGCGCGTGGGGACCCGCTCAAGTTCACCATCATCTTGCACGTGTGGAGGCAGGTGCGATCGGCGGGCAGCCTATGATGGTCCCACTTCACATCCGAGCTCTCAGCCACCGCTCGCTTGAACTCCTTCCTGCGTTCGCCCTGCTCGTCCCAGTCGACCCACAGCGTGCGCGCGTCGCCGTAGGCGTCGTTCTTCCCTGCGGCCGACTCGGCGGGCTCCTCGGCGGCTAGCCCCAGCTTCTCGCCCAGGCGGTCGCCTCCGGCCGAGCGAGCCTCTCGCCCCAGCGGCGGGGTCTCAGTCCCGCCGACCGGCTCCGCGGCGCCCATGGCGTCGGGCTCCGCGCCGAGGTCGAGCAGCAGCTCCTTCGTCCTCTTGGCAGCCCACTCGACGATCTGGCCCTCGTCCACCTGCTCGAGCCTCGCCCAGCGGCCGCAGCTCGGCAGCAAGCCGAGGGCCCGGCTCCCGTCGCGCAGCGCCCCCACCGGGAGCGGATCCACCACGGTCCCGATTGGCATGCCAGGGAGCGGCTCCGTCAGCACCCAAGGGCGCGGGGCCACGAGCCACGGGAAGTGGTCGTGGCCGGGGCGCACCGCCCCGTCGGCCAGCACCACTCTCGTCGGCGCCTCCGACTCGGCCTGCCCACGCCTGAGCATCGTGGCTCGGCACTCCGCCGCCAGCTCCACGACCTCGTCCAGGCTGGGCCGCGCACGGAACCGATAGAGGCGGCGGCCGTCGGGCGGATCCCCAGTCGCCTGGTCCAGCAGCGACCCGCCCGACGGCCCGGTCGCCGCATTCCTCCCGCTCAGGTCCTCCTCCCAGACGTCGCCGTCCGCGGAGAGCACCCAGTAGGCGTGCCGCCCCCTCACCCGCCGCCTCTGGTCCAGGCGGCGACTGGGCCACAGCACGACCCTCGTGTGGTCCATGGTCTCCCCGGTGTAGGAGACCCGGACCAGGGTGCCGACCGCCAAGTCAGCGCACCACTCCCCCTCCGCGGCGAGCGGGGGCAGGGGACGGTGCGCGATCATCATCTCTCTCGGCGGCAGCAGCACGCCCGCGGCGCGGGGCGGCGCGGCCGAGCCCCAGCCCAGCCGCGATCCCTGCGAGAGTCCCCCAGCACGCCGAGGGTGAGTCGAACTCGCCGGCGCCCACGATCCCTCCTGCAGGCGGGCAGGAGAGGTTGACCAGCGGCGCCGGGCACGCTGGGGGAGGGCAGGGCGGCGGTGAGCACGTCAGCGCGGGGCAGACCTGCGGCGGGCAGGTCAGGTTCGCCGGCGGGCACGCCAGCGACACCGCGGGGCACGGCGGCACCCCCGAGATGATCGACTGCCGCAGCGCCAGCAACTCCAGAGCGCGCACGCCCGCGGTCTGGATGTGACTGATGAGGGCCGGCGAGGGGCCCATCAGGCCTGCTTCAGACCAGAAACAACTTGAGCGGAGATAGGCAGCAGGGTGTTGGCGAGTGCACACCAGAGACAGGCAGAATATTCCATTTGCCCAACATCACACGTATGGCCCCTCTGCTCAACCCGTTCTAAAACCTCCAGAGAAAAAGCAGAAGGCAGGAAGAGAAGGGAGGAGGGTGAGGATAGCTCGAGGAAGGGTTGAGAAAGAGGGCTTGAGAGGAGAGTTCGCTAGGAAGGTTATGAAGGTTGATGAAGGTGAGGGTTGAAGCGGGCTGAAGGTTGACGAAGCGAGGGTTATTGAGGATACGGGTTGAGGTGGGTCGTAAGATGGTTGACAAGGACGGCTGATGAGAAGGACGAAGGAGGGTACTGGATGGTATGGGTGAGGAGGACAATGGAGAATCCCACCAGCCCTCTGGGCGTAGGTGGTTTAGGGAGTTTCCTCTTCCAACCTCCTCCTTCCCCTTCGGGGGGGGGGTACCCCTCCCCCTACCCCCTCCCCTGGACCTGGACGGGAGGTTTCGCGAGGTGTCGGACGGTACTTTTTCGCCCAGGATGGCTCCAAGAGCACCTCGGAGAGCCCAAGATGAGCTCCAAGATGCCTCAAGATAGCCTAGGATGCCTCAAGATGGCTCCGAAGATGCTCCAAGAGGCCCCGAGACCGCCCCAAGACGGCTCCAAGTGGCCACGGAGCCTCCCAAGGAGGCCCCCCAAGAGGCCCAAATCCTTCAAAAACCTGGGGAAAACCAATGAATTTTGCATTCTCACCGTTTTGCTTCTGGTGGCCTTCCGAGGCCTCAAGATGGCTCCAAGAGGGCCCAAGAGGGCCCCAAGAGAGGCCCAAGATGGCCCCAAGACGGCCCAAAGAGCGCCCAAGAGCGATCCAGGAGCGCCTCAAGAGGGGTCAAAGAGGTTATTTTAAGCACTTTCGAGGGGCAGGGCGAATCCGGATCCTCCCTTTCTTTGATCGATCTCCTCCAAGATGACCCCAAGAGGCGCCGAGGAGGCCCCAAGAGGCCCCAAGATGGCCCCAAAATGGTCCCAAGATGGCCCCAAGAGGCTGCCAAGCGGCCCCAAGAGGGCCCCAAGCGGCACCAAGAGGCCCCCCCCGAGGCACTCAAGACGCCCAAGAGCCCCACTGGACCGCCAAGAGACCCCCAAGACGCCCCAAGAGACCTCAAAGAGTATCCCAAGAGACATCCCAAGAGACTCCGCGAGACATTCAAGAGGCCTTTGACTCGTCTGATCGCCCTTATCCTCCTCCTCCTCCCCCTCATCATCACCACCACCACCACCACCACCATCATCATCATCATCATCATCATCATCATCATCATCATCACCATCACCATCACCATCACCATCACCATCGTCAAGACCACCACCATCACCGTCATCATCAGCATCATCAATATCAACATCAACATCATCATCCGCCTATTCCTCCTCCTCCTCCTCCTCATTCCTCCCTCCCCACCCTCATCATCCTCCTCCTCTTCCGCCTCCGACTCCTCCTCCATCCCCCCCCCTTGGGGTACGACGGCCTCCCCAGCCCTTTGTTCCTCTGTATGCTGCCCCGCTTCCATGATCACCTCTACTCGCCTGGGCGTCGTTTCTGGATGGGCTGGTGGGGATACGCGAAGCGTCAAGAATTGTGGGGGGTAATGCGGAGGGTCGAAGGTGAAGATTAACAAGAAGGGGTAAAGAGAAGAATCAGGACGAGGGTTCATGCAGAGGGTTGGGGAGGGGGGTTGAACAGGAGGGCTCAGAGCAGAGTGTCGAAGAGGAAAGATGAGGGGGGCTTGAGGAGGATAGAGGGGGCAGGGGAAGAGAATTGAGGATGAGACCTGAGGAGCCGGATTATGGTTGAGTGCTCCTGCCCCTCTCTCTTCTCATGAGTCTTCCTAGTCTTGCATCCTCCTCCTCGATCCTCCTCAACCCTCCTTCGCAACCATTCTCAACAACCCCTCCAGCTACACCCTGATCAACACTTCTCAGCCCTTCTCGGCCTTCATAACAAACCTTCGTTCCAAACCCTCCTCCTCAACCGTCCTTCCCGGCTATCCTCCTCCTCCTCCTCCTCCTCCTCCTCCTCCTCCTCCTCCTCCCCCCCCCTCTTTCCTCTGAGAGGGAAAATGAAAATGAGGTGGGGTACAGAGGAGGGTCGGGGAGGCGGTTGCGGAGCGGTGCATAAATGGAGGAGAAGGGGAGAGGGCAAGAAGGAATTGGATGAAGGTGAGCATGGTTGCGCAGGCGGCTTTGGGAAAAAGGGCTTGGTAAGAAGGTTGAAGATATTGGTTGAAGAGGAGCGTCGAGGACGAGGATTGTTGAGGGCTGAGGGTCAAGGAGGCGAGGATATGATTGAGGATGAGGGTGGAGGCGGATCGAGGAGGATGATTGACAAGGAGGGCTGAGGCAGAAGGGTCACCATTTCTTTGTTTCTCTCTCTCTCTCTTTCTTTCTCTCCCTATCTCTCTCTCTCTCTCTCTCTCGCTAAAGCGTTGTGCGCCAGCGGACACTAGAACCCCCCTTCAATAACATGATTCAGGCGAAATCTTCTCACAGTCTGGGTTCGTCAGGAAACACTACATCCATCTCCCAAACAGTGCTTGCACCAAGGGGTTATTGCTCTCGCTGCTGGTGAATTCAGGGAATTACAAGCCTTCGTCTGGTGGGCACCCGTGGGCGCCTGGTGGAAACATCGCGTTGGTTTTGAGCTTGACCGGTGTGCTCGCCTTGCGTTGGAGTTCCAGATTTTGCCTGGTGAGTGCCCGTGACCGCCTCGCGGGCGCATCGTGTTGGCCAGGAGTTCCAGATATTGTCGACTGGTGAGCGCCCGTGGGCGCTTCGTGGACGCGTCCGTGCGCGGGCTGGCGCTGCGGTTGCTCGACATAGGTTGCACAATATATCTTCCACAATGCCGGGTACAATGTGTAAGAAATCCACAAAATATTGCGTCGTACACAGCTCCACACATCTTGCGCCGATATCGAGTGCTCCACACCAGCACTGGCTGCCGCAAAACCCCGCGACAAGCTGCAACCTTCTGCGTGGCGAGCGAGCGAGCGCACCCGTGCACTGCACAGAAGGTGCACGACAGAGAATGCACATTATAGCTTCCACCATGCCTTTTTTTCTTCCGGCAAGTCCACAGGTGCGCGCACCCGGCACCCCAAGGGCGCGGGTGCTCGAGAAGCGCAGCAGGCGAGCGCACGACAAGGCGGGCCGCGCCTTGTGTTCGAGGTGCAGTCCATCCGGAGCGCCCGCTAAGAGATACGCAGACTATGGAGAGAGAGAGAGGGAGAGAGAAGAGAGAGAGAGAGCTGCAAGCATACACCGATCTCGTCTTGAGACCCGGATCGGTACATGACCCCCCCAAGCTTGGCGCCAGGGAGGCAGATGCACAGATCCTCGGCCCCTGACGGGCCTGGCCAGAACCGGCACACGTGAACTATCCACAGAGTGCCCACCAGACAGACCGACCAGACCAGACGAAGGCGGAGGAGCGGGAGGACAGTGCCCGCCGTCGACGGCAGCAGCTGCTGCTTGGCAGGCCAGACCCAACACCGAGCTGGCGGCGCTCACCGTGAAACCCGACTGGCGGCGCTCGGACACGAGCAGGGCGTGCCGTGGGACGCCGCGCCCCGCGGTCCACGCGTCGGGCGTCCCGAGCTAGGCGTGGGAACTGCTGGTTCTCACGATACAAGTGTAACAAGCAGCATAACCACGAACTTTCGGAACTTCGCCACTCCTGCGCCTAGCGTGTGGCCATTCAGATCGGAGGGCGGCCAACTCGGTGCCTAACCATCAGAAGCAAGATGCCAGGGAGGTGTCCGGTTCGGAACCCCGAGACCAGCACAAATAAGAGCGGCTGCCAGTTCGCGGTCGCTAAAAACAAGTCAGGAAGATGACAAGTCATAATATTGGCCCTCAAGACAGAGGTGCAACAAACAGCATAACCACAAACTTTCGGAGCTTCGTCACTCCTGCTCCTAGTGTGTGGCCATTCAGCTCGGAGGGTGGCCAACTCGATGACTGACCATCAGAAGCAGGATGCCAGGGAGGTGCCCCGTTCGGAACCCCGAGACCAGCACAAATAAGAGCGGCTGCCAGTTCGCAGTCGCTAGAAATTTGTCAGAAAGATGACAGGTCACTAGATTCCAGCCACACTCTCCCTGCCGATCGTATCGATTGCCTCTGTAGAAATCTATTTACACCATGCTAGATTTCTATAGCATTACAAGCATAGCCTATATTCATACCATCGGCACTGCACTTTTTCACGTTCACGACTTCATCGCGAGAGTGTCACTGAGAACATGGCACAGCCAACAGAGTTGGACATCGTGCTGCAGCTAAGCACATCGTGCCACTGGCTGCTGCCTGCAGTGTAGAACATAGCAAGTGCACACTATCAATCAGAGCGGTCAGCCTCCTCCTCCCACACTCCCACGTCCCATGCTCCTCCGAACCGCTCCTTCCCATCAGACCCCTGGTGCCCCTGGGGGCCGCGAACTGAGCAGCGCGGCGCGGGCCTCACGACAGCGACTTGGCGGTGCCGGGACGGGACAGCGGCGTTCGCACCTTGGGCGCCCGAGTTATCCAGGGTAACTCGGGTTTGGGTTCCCGAAAAACGAACCCGAGTTAGCCCTGACCCGAGTTACCCCTGATGATTCGGGGCTCTGGACGCCCGAGTTATCCGGGGTAACTCGGGCCCGGGGAAACTCGGGTTCGGAATCCCGAAAAAGGAACCCGAGTTAGCCCTGACCCAAGCTACCCCTGATGATTCGGGGCTCTGAGCACCTCCCGCTCGGAGTTGGAGTCGGAGTCGGAGTCGCTGCCCTCGCTGTCGTCGTCCAGCGCCTCGCCCGCCGGGCCCCCGGCGCCCGCAGGCGGGGCCGCGCCGGCGGGGCCCTCGCCGCGCGCCTCGCCGCGGGCCGCCGCGGCCGCCGCGCCCTCCAGGGGCGCCTCGGCCGCGCCCGCGGCCGCCGCCTCCCCGCCGGCGTGCGGCGTCGGGGGGGCGTCCAGGGGCGAGGGCCTCTGAAGGGGCCCCAGGACACACAAATAAATACACACAAAGAAAAAGATTCCCCACCTTTTCCCGTATTTTGGGGTGTTTTGTCTTCCCCCCCACTTCCCATGTTTTCCCATATGTTCGGGGGAATCGACGATTCATTGTGTCTGTGTGTGTTTTTCCCCTCCTGAGCCTCGCCCTCGCGCCCGGGGCCTCCGCCCGAGGCGCGGGGTCCGCCGCGGCCGCGGGCGGCGGCGGTGCCGCGGGCACTCTCGGGTCGGGGAAGGGCTCGCCCCCCGCCGGGTGGGCGGGGTGCTCCTCCGCCGGGTAAGCGGACTCCTTCGAGGGCGGGGAGTGGCTCTCCCAGTCACAGAGGAACGTCTGCACGACGCGCCCGTTCTTGAGGACGATGTCCTCGTTCGCCGCGAAACGCAGGCCACGCAAGCCCTCCACGCCGGCCTGAGCGGCGCGCTCCATCGCCTCTTTGGCCGGAGAGCTCACGCAGACCTTTCCCGCCTTCCCGTGCGACTCGACGTTGTTGCCGATCAGCACGTCATCGCCCCAGATGTCGAACCTCAGGCGCTTCGTGCCGATGACCCCGCCCACGAACTTGCCGAAGTGGATGCCGATGCGCATGTCCAGGGCGTGGTGCTGAACGTCCTCCTGACCCCTCACCCGCACGATAGCCTGCAGCATCCACCTGCCCATCTCGAAGACTGGCAGGCCGGTCCAGGTCTCGCTGGGCATGCGGTCGACGGCGGCGGGGCTGCCGTAGCCCGCGCGCTGCCTCCGGGGCTCGTTGACCACGACGTACGCGTCGCCGATGGTGCAGACCTTGTAGACGCCCTTGCGCCGCGCCTCGTCGTCGAACACGGCGAACAGCTGCGTCACGAGGTTCACCGCCTGCTCGGCGGTGTGCTCGGCGCAGTAGCGCGTGAAGCCAACGATGTCCGCGAACAGGAAGGTCATGTCCTCGTAGCTGTACGCGAGGCTCAGGCTGTTCGACCTCATCTCTGAGAGCACCTCCCGAGGGAGCATGCTGTCCAGCAGCTCGGAGACGCGCTCGTGCTCCTCGCAGACCTGCCTGTGCTGGGCGAACAGCATCCTGGGGTCCTCCCGCGTTGCCACGACGTGGGTTCCTAAGATCAGCGCGCAGTAGCCGATGCACTCCAGCATCATGTCCTCGCAGAAGAATGACTCCACGACGATGTACACTGAAATCAGAAGCGCAAGGATGGCCGGGCCTAAGCCTTGAGGGAACAGCCGGTAAAGGTGCATCAGCACCACCACGAAGAAGAACGCCTCGAAGATGTTCCAGACGCTGGCGCGGCCGCCGACGTGGTTCGCGGCGGTGGAGAACACGAAGCCCACGAACACGGCCAGCGCGACGATACACCCGAAGAGCGCGAGCATTGTCCTTGCGATCGGCGACCGGTGCTGCTCCGCGCCCCAGTGGCACTTAGCCCCCGCGCGCCACAGCAGCACGGCCGCAACCAGTGAGGCAACGACGAAGCCCAGCCTGAGCAGCAGCTCGCCCACCACGGCGTCGGCCCTCGTCAGCAGGAACAACGACTCCACCGCGTACCAGAACAGGAAGCCGACGAAGGACACGAACTGCGACATCATCGGCGACCCGCGCACCAGCTGTGCCCCCTTGGCCTCACGCCGCCAGACGGGGCACAACAGCCCAAAGACCGCCGAGCAGGCCATCCCTGGGAGCAGCTCGCCCAAGGACGCGGAGCTGGCCTTTGAAGAAGGGGCCAGCCTCCTCGGCCATGTGAGAATGGCGCTCCGCGGGGTCACGGGGAGGTCCGATGGCAAGCGCGAGGCCGGCGTCGGCGGCATGAGGCCCCGCCACGCCGCCTCTGGCTCGCCGTGCAATGCGTTGCTCGACGCCGGACTGGAGCGCGACCTTTCGTCGCGCCAGTGGTTTGTAGACTCTGGGCTCCCGTCGTCGCCGCGGCTCGTGCTCGCCCTGTTCGTGATGCCGGTCCACGTGCGGTTCTTCCTCAGGGTGGGAACCCCGACGGTGCCGCGCTCCTCGCCCTCGCCGCCGACGAGCCCGCGCGACGAGGGCTGGTCCATGGATGGCAAACGCTCCGAAATCGGCAAGGGCTTCGACAACGGCAGCTCTGGCACGACCGACTCGTCGTCGTGGGAGGGCGAGCTGGTGCTCGACGTCTTGGTGTCCTTGGGGGCCAGCACCCGCGACAGCGACGCCTGGAAGCCGCTGACCTTCTGAGCTGTCGCCACCTGGTTGCAGTGCGCCTTGTCGACGGAAGCGGCGGAAATGCGTCGCCGGAGCTTCTTCAGCTCCTCCAGCTTGTACCGGCGCAGCAGGTAGGTGTCCATGAGCCCCTTGCCCTTCACCTCCGTCTTCCTCGGCTCCCAGCTGAAGCGAGTGTCGTCCTTCAGGTGCTCCCAGGTGGCGCCAGAGACGTGAAGCTTGTTGCGCTTGCCCGTGGACTGCATCCTGGACGCGGTGTTGACGGTGTCGCCGAAGAGGGCGAACTGCGGCTTCAGCGTGCCGACCACGCCGCTGAGCACCCGCCCGGTGTGGATGCCGATCCTCACGGAGACCTGCGCGACCTTGCCGTGCCCGGTAAAGCGCCGCGACGTCTCCTCGAGCATGAAGACGGCGGTGGCGGTGGCGCTCAGCGCGTCCTGGGCGTGCTGCCCCGGGAGCGGCGTCTGCGCCGAGTCTTCGGGCAGCGCCGCGGCCATGTACGTCTTTCCTACAGTCTCGATCTTCGTCACCCCGTTCCGCTCGACCAGGCGGTCGAAGAGGTTCCACACCTGGTCGAGCAGCAGGACCAGCTCCTCTGGCTGCAGGTCCGCCACGAGGGCGTCGAAGTCCATCAGGTCGATGAACAGCACAGAGGCGATGCGGTCGCCGAGGATCCGCTGGCCCGCAGCCATTGCCTCGCCAGCGGTGTCCCTCCGTATCTTCAGCAGCACATGGCTGACCACCTCCTCGGGAAACATGCCCTTCAAAATCTCCATGCCTTGGTGCTCTGACTGGGCGATGGAGTCGAGGACAAAGAAGTCCTTGCGCACGAGTATCTCGAGCTGGTACGAGTAGTACAGCGTGAGGTTCACGATGCCTAGCATCAGCACGAAGTACTCCATACCGATGTCGTTGCCTGGTATGTCCTGGAAGACGCCAACAAGGATCCAGAACCGAGCGACGATGAGCGCCAGGTGGCAACTGATGACCATCACCAAGTAGGTGAAACGCATCCGGGCAAAAGCGATGATGAACACCGGCGTGTAGGTGTGAAACAAGATTCCCGGGTTCCCCGTGCAGATGTCGAAGATGTGCTTCAGCATGAGCGACGCCATCAGCAGCACAGAAGTCGCGGGCTCGAAGGCGTTGTCGGCCGTTAGCCATGCCACGTTGTCTGGGCGATACAGGCGCTGGTGGAAGAGGCGCACGAGCAGCCAGGAGGACCCCACCGCCGCCGACAGGCCCAGGATGACGAGCCTGGTCCAGAAGACCTGACTGCCACTGTCAGGGTCCAAGACGAGGGTCACCATGTTGTAGAACAGGAAAAGCACCATGGATAAGAAGCAGAACTTCTGGAACAGCGGCACCGCGTGCACCGACAGGAACTTCCGGAAGGCGACTTCCTGGGCGCGGGCCCTGAAGCGCAGGGTGGCGACGCTGTACATGAGATCCTTGATGACCTCGTTCTCGGAGGCCGAGGAGAGGCGCGGCGACAGGTCGCTGCTGACCGACAGGCGCGACGAGACGGAGTACAGCGACGAGGTTGAATTCTTGCGGGAAATTTTCGGCAGCGGGGACACGTCGCCAGGCAACACGGCCTCGTCGTTGGTGCCGTGCGTGCCGGTGGACACCGACGAGACAACCAACTGGTGCGAGATCGAAGACTCCGAGGCCCAGTTGGCCAGGTTCGGAAAGGACGCCGCAGACCTGGTGCTCCGGGGCTCCAGGCCGCCGCACTGCCGGATGGCGCTGGTGAGGTGCTTGGACACCGTGATCTTGTCGAAGCTGATACCCCCTGCCAGCTCAGCAACTGTCATCTCGGACCACTGGCGCTCCCAGACCGTCCGCACCAGGAGGCAGGCCTGCTTCCGCACCCGGTCCGAGAGGCTCTCCTGGGACTGCCCCCAGAGGGAGAGGCTGGCGGAGAGCACGGCCTCCCCCTCGCCGCCCGCGACAGCCTCCTGCGTCGCGTGCTCCTCGGCGTGCACCGCCGCGGACGCCCGCCTTCGCCGCCGGCAGCGGCAGGGCGAGCGGCCCCGGTCCCAGTGGCCCCGGAGCGGGCGCACCCACAGCCGCTCGTCCGGCCGCGCCCGCAGCGGCCGCGGCAGCGGCGGAGGTAGCCTCCGCACCCACTCCTGGGCCGCGGGCGCGCAGCCCGCGGGGCCCCTCTCGGCCGCGGCGGCAGCGGAGGTCACCGCCGGCAGCCGGTCCAGGCCGCTGAGGTGGCCCTGGTCCACCTCCCCGAGGACGTCTGCGACCGTGGGTGCCACGGCCCTGCGCACGAGGCTGGCCGCGAAGTCGGCCGCAGCGCAAGCCGCCACGACCAGCAGCATCGCCAACCAGTTGCGCGGCTGAAGGAACAGGGGGCCCTCGATGCCCACCATGCTGGACTCCACCGACATCAGCGCCCCGCCACTGCGCGAGTAGATCAGCATGGCCGGCACGAACACGACAACGGAGAGGCCGATGACCATCAACTGCCAGTCCATCCAGCTCCTCGTCTGCATCATTATGGTCACGTTCCCGACTATGACGCATGCGCCGTAGGCCCAGCTGCCCATCACGTACAAGTCTGGGGCACTGAGGTTGCTGTCCGCTGGCATGTTGTTGAGGCCGCCGACGAACCCTTGCATGCACGTATAAAGGACGCTGGCGTGCAGGATGCCCCTCGAGATCCAGCCCATGAGCATTCTCCAATTGAAGTAGTGGTCCATGATCCCCATCTGATACAGGCTGGGGACATTCAGCGCCAAGCGAGGCGAAACATCCCAATCAAAAATTCCCGTGATCATGATGGGCAAGGATGTGAAAACAAGGTTAAATGTTGCAAGCAGATACGAGTCGTAGAGGGTGGTCCCCGAGTATCCTGTCTCACGGCCGAAGAATATCATCGGGAGGATCAGCAAGAAGTTCTTGTAGAAGAAGTAGCCTATGACGATGGAGGTGCGGCGGAGGTTCCAGCGGCCGTGGACGAAGAGCAGCCGCTGCAGAAACCAGAAGCGCCCAATAGTGAAGTCCGACGCGTTGGCAGCCTGACGTCCCTCCAGGCCGAGGATCCCCACGCCGACGTGAGCCTCCTGGATCATGCTCACGTCGTTTCCGCCATCGCCCACGGCCAGCGTCAGCGGGCTGCCCTCCAGGTTGCTCCGCACCAGCTTGACGAGCTGCGCCTTCTGAGCCGGAGCGAGCCGGCACGCGACTACCGAGCTGGAGCAGCAGGCCACCGCCAGGAACAGCTGCCGCAGGCGTGGGTCGTCCATGATCGTGTAGAGCACCTTCCCGTGCATGATCAGGCAGTACCTGAAGGCGCCAGGGCTTCGCTCCAACTTGACCTGCTGGCTGATGCCCTTGTAGATCTGCTCCAGCTCGCTCAGGAGGTGGCTGCTGGACCTGTCGGGGGGCACGTCCGGCATCGCCAACTTGTAATGGCGCATCTCGTTGTCGACGAGCTTACAGGCCAATGCGATGTTCACCGCGGTCTCCACGTTGTCGCCGGTCAGCATCCACACCTTGATCCCCGCGCGGATCATCAGGTCGATGGTCTCTGGCACCTTGTCCTGTATGCGGTCCTCGACGGCGGAGAGGCCGAGTATGTCGAAGGACCGCTCCATGTCGTCGGCTATCTTCCCCATCATCTTCTCACGGTTCATGAAGGCGCCCTTCGCCTCCCTCATGCGCTGCAGGAAGGTATCGGCCTCCAAGGTCGTCAGCTGGCGCCTGCAGATCACTAGCGTGCGGAGGCCATGCGACGTGAACTGCAGGAGGTGCTTCTTAAAATCCTCGGACTCTGCGACCTCCATGCCACTGGCACTCAGTCGGCTCTGCTCCAGCATCACGCTGTCGGCGCCCTTGGCGTAGAGAATGGGCGAGTAGGACGTCTCGTTCTCGGACTCGCTGTCCAGCATGTCGTCGTTGATCGACGGCAGGCGATCCACCGTCATCACGACCGACATCTTGCCGTTCCGAACTCCGTTGTTGTGGAGCTCCGAACTTCCGAACGAGCCGGCGCCATCCTTCGACTGGGCACGGCTCACCCGCGAGGCCGACTCCGAGCTGAGCTGCCGCACCAGCACCGACATCCGCTTGCGCTCGGAGGTGAACTCGTTGATGGCCAGGACGACGAAATGCTGGTCCTGGCCCTTGACGTTCACCGTGATGTGCCTGGCCACCTTCTTCCGGAAGAAAAACCCAAAGTCCCGCGCCGCCGCGACCAGCGCCTCCTCATCGGGCGAGGAGCTCCTGAACACGACCTGCTTGGCCTCGTGCATCAGGTCCTCGTCGGCCGACCCCGAGCGCTCCGCATCGGCCGCGGCCGACCTTCTCGGGGATGGACAGAACCCCCTGCAGTAACACGCGGGTTAGTGAAAACGACCTCGGGCCACAACCTGGCGGGCGCACGCCTGGAAAATGACGGCCGCGGCGCCCTCTCGAGAACCGAAAACGGACAATTCACTAATCGACGTGTCAGGGTTGACGAACCAACAACACACACCCATACCCATTGAGGGGTCGGAAAGGGCTATGAGTGCGTGTTGTCGGATGGGGGTCCCCGCTCGAACGGGAGCGTTCCCTAGGGTCCGACAACCCGCACCCATACCCATAGCCAGTCCTCCTCCCAACGACTCCCTTATGGGTATGGGTGTGCGTTGTTCGTTCGTCAAGGGTGGGGGTCCTGTCCGCCCCCCGACTACCCAGGGCGTGCGGGCAGCGCGGACGCCGTCGACGCCCTGCTCCTCTCCGGGATCGCCTCGTGGCAGGTGGCCAGGCACAGGAAGAACTCCGCGACCAGATCCTTGGTGGGCCTGCCTTCCACCACCACCACCATAAGCTGGAGGGGGGGAGGAGGTGGAGGATGAGAAGGAGCAAGAGGAGGAGGAGGAGGAGGAGGAGGAGGAGGAGGAGGAGGAGGAGGAGGAGGAGGAGGAGGAGGAGGGGGGGGGAGGAGGAGGAGGAGGAGGACCCCCTCCCCATCCTACTCATGGTGGTGGCGGTGGAAAACGAGCCCAGCAGTCCTGGATGGGGTTTGCCGCGGGCGCGGCGGCGCAGGCACCGCGCGGCCCCCTCGCCGGCAGGGGCGCGCCGGCCCCCTTGGCCTCCTCGCGCAGCTGGGGCGGGTCCGTGGACGCGCTGGCCTCCCTGGCCTGAAGTCGGGCCTGTCCCCCATACAGTCATCGGCCTGACCTAAGGAACGATAAATAAGGAACGAAGCCCCTTGTTTATCCCAAAGAATAGCGCATAAGGAAGGATAAACGATACAGAACGCATACGGAACTGTAAATAACGCGCATGCAAGCCCAAGGAACGACCGAGCCCCCTTTGAAACGCAAGTGCTCCTTATTCAAGCCGCTCACTGTAAAGGGGGATTTTGGACGAAAAATTCAAACAACAAACAAACAAACAAACAAACAAACAAACAAACAAACAAACAAACAAACAAACAAAAAGAAAAGAAAAGAAAAGAAAAGAAAACAAACAAACAAAAATCAACAAGTACCCCAAAATACCCGAAAATGGTCCAAAGATCGTCCCCAGACTATTTTTGACTACCTTTGAAACTTCCCCCTGTAGAGGGGCAGGCCCGACGTTAACCCTGGCCTTCTGCAGCAGGGCGGGGTGGAGCGGCAGGCAGGCGCCCAGCGGCGGCACGGAGGCCACGTGTGCGACCGGCCCCTCGTCCCAGTAGCCGTAGACCTGAAGGGGCCCCAGGACCCACAAATAAATACACACAAATAAAAGGATTCCCCGTATTGTTCCATATTTTCTGGGTTTTTGTCTTCCCCCCCACTTCCCATATTTTCCCATATTTTCTGGGGGATCGACGATTAATTGTGTCTGTGTGTGTTTTTTCCCTCCTGAAGACCTTGCCGCCGATGGACGCGGCCTTGAACCGCATCTGGTTCTCCGTCAGCGTGCCTGTCAAAACGACGCGAAGATCGGGACAAAATCGGATCGGGATAACTCGAAATCTCTGAGAATCGGCGGGTTTGGAGGATGTATTGGGCGCCGCGGCCGCTCCAGAGCGTTCCGGAACGCTCTGAGAGCGCTCTGGAACGCTCTGGAGCGATTTATCCCGATCCTAGCCCTGTTTGACCTGTCTTGTCAGTCAGCACGAACTCGACCTGTCCGAGGTTCTCATTCAGGCTGGAGTTCCGGACCTGGCAGAAGGAGTCGGTCCTGGAGTGGTACATGTGCACGTCCCGCTCCATCATGACGCCCTGGAAGGCGCGCACGAGGTCGGTGGCTATGTACAGACTGATGGGAATGAAGTTGTTGAACAAGATCATGAATGTCACGAACGCGAGGTATCCGTTGTCCTTGAGCGGGTCCGACTCAGGCCAGACCCAGCTTCTCTGATTGGCGCTGTCCGTACCCTCCCTCAGGGACAAGGCCTGCGCCACAGTGGAGGACAGCGCGGCCGTGACGAGGAGACCGAACACGATGAGCAGAAGAGAATTCGCTTTGACCTCCACATGCGACCTCTTGGACGGAGTCTGCTTGAGGTTCTGAACGAGCTTCGTCTCGTGGCCCGTGTAGGTGGTCAGGCCGAAAGCCCACTTGGTGTTCCTGAGGGTAGAGCCCCTCAGCAGGAAGTTTTTGGCCTCCACGGGCACGCCGCGCGGGCGGCCGCGCAGCACCAGCATGCCGTTGAAGTACTGCAGCAGCTGGTTCGGCGGCTCGGCGGCCACGTGGCCCTCGAGGGCGCAGAACTCCTTCGGGGAGGTCATCCGCATGGTCTCCTCCAGGGGGAACTTGGGCTTCAGCGAGGTCTCCCCGTCCAGCTGGGCCGTGTCGACGTGCGCGATGCCGTCGGCGTTGTTGGAGCACGAGAGCAGGATCATGTCGCACGGGATGGGCTCGTCGCGCTCCAGCCGGACGTACTGGCCGACGGTGAGGTCCTTCCAGTACGTCTGGACGTAAGCACCGCGAGTGCTGCTGTTCTGGTCCAGCACGCTACACAGCTGGTTGTTGACCCGGCGGTCGTCGCGGGCCCGCTTGTGGTCCTCGTAGGCATCCTTCAGGAAGGTCAGGAACAGCACGCCGCAAAGAGGCAGAAGCGTTGCCGTCGGCGTGGTGGGTGAGAGCTCCAGAGGCGCCAGCTGGCAGGCGGAGACGAACAGGAACCAGATGTTTGCGATGCGCCGGAACTGCTCGAGGAGGTTCTTGGGCACTATGTTCCACCACGCGTACTTCGTGGTGGAAATACTATTGTACGGGAAGGGGGACCGCCTCTTATCCGCCCTCTCGGCGCCGATGTTGAACCTGCGCTCGAAGGACTTGGAATCGCCCCTCGCCATGCGGGGGTGGCGCGAGGAGCTAGACCCTGCGCCATCGGAGCAGGTATTGCCCACGTTCGGGCCGCCGAGCGTGAACGACTTCACCCCGTCGTATCGGGTCAGCCCCGCGTTCACGCCGCCGAGCGTGGTCGACATCATCCCGAGCGCGGTCGACGCTGTTCCGTCGGCGCGGTCGGAGCACTGCGACTGCACACCCACGTCGCCGTCAGGGCAGGCCAACATGGGAGGACCGACGCCTGTGAAGCTCACCCTGGCCAGATTGTTTTTCCGCCGGGGGGGGTCGGGCTCGCTCCTCGCACCCTCTCCCTTGGAAAGCGTCATGGCCCCGCTCGGCGGGGGCCGGCGAGGCCCCAGCGGGCGGGGGGCGTGGCGCAGCGCCCCCGCGGGCCCCAGCGCTGGAGGGGCGGCGGCCGCTCGCCTCTGCACGCCGCCGCCGCCGCGCGGGAATATTGCCCACGGCCGGGGGGCCGCCGCCGCCCCCAGTGGCGCGCGCGCGCGCGGCCGACGCTCGACGAGGCCGCCCGCAGGAGCTGGCGAACGAGGCGGCGCCCAACGGATCGCTGGACGCCGCCCCTCGAACCGCCTGAGCCAAAAAGGTTCCAGATTGTAGCTTCCACCAAGCTCTACCCCCATACCGGCTGGACTTAACGATTTGCCTCCACGGACTTGCCCTCCACATTGGTTACGATCGATCGCCAAACCTACCCTGAAGTCATTCCATCCCAATCAGGCTCCTGTTCGACCTCCCCCCCCATCCCTGCCAGATAGCAATATGCGGAGCACTCGTTTTGATTTGCACAGGCATGCTCTTGGGATTAACATATATAAATATATATATATATATATATATATATATATATATATACATCACCAGGCCGAAAATTATTTCCTCTTGCATGGGAACGCATGGATCCATTTGGATCCAATTACGTGTGTGCGAGAGTCGCGTGGATCAAATTTCCGTGTCTGGATCCAATTGTTTGGCGTGGCTGCTTCGTGGATCCAATTCTTTTGCTGGAATAAATTCGAAATACTAATTACTACAAGGGACCCGAGGGGAAATGGATCCACGGAGCCGTGGACCTGCAGCCCAAGCTATGATTCTACGGGGGAGGGGTTTCCCTACCGAGATACACAACACACGGCGACGAGTAGGGAAACACAAACCCAAGTCGGGAGCTCGAGCGCCACAGCGGGCCTGGCCACCTCTCCGAACCCCTCCCATAACATGCCGTTGATCGAGCGCCACAGCTGCCCCGGCCAACACCCGCAGCCTCCATAACATGTGGGTGCTCGAGCGCCACAGCGGGCCTGACCAACTCCCGCAGCCTCCCATAGAATATGCCGCACCCCACCTCGACGCGAGCGCGATGTGATCGCTGCGTCCGCATCCGCTAAAGACAACGACACTTCGAATTTGTCATCTGGGCCTCAAGAGGAAAATCTTTCGGCCTGCTCAAATGGGGGTTTGACCCCCGTTTCCCTCGCCAACACGTGCAGAGTTGTCGCCGACTCCCCTTTTCGGCCCGACACTGCATGCAGCATCATTCGCGCACACGGAAGCACCGCCGACGAACTGACACCCACTGAGAACATCGAGCGAAGCACGAGGACGCGATACCTACAAGAATCTGCGCGGCATGCTACGTGTACTGTGCCACCACCGCTCCTGTGCTAAAGGGCAGAAGGGGTGCAAAACTCTTCATCCCCAGGCCGGAAGTTTTCTCCTCTTGCATGGGAACGCATGGATCCATTTGGATCCAATTACATGTGCGCGAGAGTCGCGTGGATCAAATTCCCGTGTCTTCTGGATCCAATTTCTTGGCGTGGAAGCTTCGTGGACCCAATTCTTCTGCGAGAATAAATTTGTAATAATAATTACTGCAAGGGACCCGAGGGGAAATGGATCCACGGAGCCTTGGACCTGCAGCCCAAGCTATGATTATACGGGGGAGGGGGTTCCCTACCGAGAGGCACAACACACGGCGACGAGTAGGGAAACGCAAACCAAGTCGGGAGCTCGAGCGCCACAGCGGGCCTGGCCACCTCTCCGAACCCCTCCCATAACATGCCGTTGATCGAGCGCCACAGCTGCCCCGGCCAACACCCGCAGCCTCCATAACATGTGGGTACTCGAGCGCCACAGCGGGCCTGACCAACTCCCGCAGCCTCCCATAGAAGATGCCGCACCCCACCTCGACGCGAGCGCGATGTGATCGCTGCGTCCGCATCCGCTAAAGACAACGACACTTCGCATGTGTCATCTGGGCCTCAAGAGGAAAATCTTTCGGCCTGCTCAAATGGGGGTTTGACCCCCGTTTCCCTCGCCAACACGTGCAGAGTTGTCGCCGACTCCCCTTTTCGGCCCGACACTGCATGCAGCATCATTCGCGCACACGGAAGCACCGCCGACGAAGTGACACCCACTGAGAACATCGAGCGAAGCACGAGGACGCGATACCTACAAGAATCTGCGCGGCATGCTACGTGTACTGTGCCACCACCGCTCCTGTGCTAAAGGGCAGAAGGGGTGCAAAACTCTTCATCCCCAGGCCGAAAGTTTTCTCCTCTTGCATGGGAACGCATGGATCCATTTGGATCCAATTACATGTGCGCGAGAGTCGCGTGGATCAAATTCCCGTGTCTTCTGGATCCAATTTCTTGGCGTGGAAGCTTCGTGGATCCAATTCTTCTGCGAGAACAAATTTGTAATAATAATTACTGCAAGGGACCCGAGGGGAAATGGATCCACGGAGCCTTGGACCTGCAGCCCAAGCTATGATTATACGGGGGAGGGGGTTCCCTACCGAGAGGCACAACACACGGCGACGAGTAGGGAAACGCAAACCAAGTCGGGAGCTCGAGCGCCACAGCGGGCCTGGCCACCTCTCCGAACCCCTCCCATAACATGCCGTTGATCGAGCGCCACAGCTGCCCCGGCCAACACCCGCAGCCTCCATAACATGTGGGTGCTCGAGCGCCACAGCGGGCCTGACCAACTCCCGCAGCCTCCCATAGAAGATGCCGCACCCCACCTCGACGCGAGCGCGATGTGATCGCTGCGTCCGCATCCGCTAAAGACAACGACACTTCGCATGTGTCATCTGGGCCTCAAGAGGAACATCTTTCGGCCTGCTCGAGTGGGGTTTTGACCCCCGTTTCCCTCGCCAACACGTACAGCGTTGTCGCCGACTCCCCCATTCGGCCCGACACTGCATGCGGCATCAATCGCGCGCACACGGAAGCACCGCCGACGAACTGACACCCACTGAGAACATCGAGCGAAGCACGAGGACGCGATACCTACAAGAATCTGCGCGGCATGCTACGTGCACTGTGCCACCACCGCCCCTGTGCTGAAGGGCAGAAGGGGTGCAAAACTCTTCATCCCCAGGCCGAAAGTTTTCTCCTCTCGCATGGGAACGCATGGATGCATTTGGATCCAATTACGTGTGTGCGAGAGTCACGTGGATCCAATTGCCGTGTCTTCTGGATCCAATTATTTGGCGTGGAAGCTCGGTGGATCCAATTCTTTTGCGAGAATAAATTCATGAGAATAACTACTACACGGGACCCGAGGGGAAATGGATCCACGGAGCCTTGGACCTGCAGCCCAAGCTATGATTCTACGGGGGAGGGGTTTCCCTACCAAGAGACACAACACACGGGGACGAGTAGGGAAACACAGACCCAAGTCGGGAGCTCGAGCGCCACAACGGGCCTGGCCACCTCTCCGAACCCCTCCCATAACATGTCGTTGATCGAGCGCCACAGCTGCCCCGGCCAACTCCCGCAGCCCCCTATAACATGTGGGTGCTCGAGCGCCACAGCGGGCCTGGCCAACTCCCGCAGCCTCCCATAGAAGATGCCGCACCCCACCTCGACGCGAGCGCGATATGATCGCTGCGTCCGCATCCGCTAAAGACAACGACACTTCGCATTTGTCACCTGGGCCTGGGCCTCAAGAGAAAAATCCTTCGGTCTGCTCAAGTGGGATTTTGACCCCCGTCTCCCCCGCCAACACGTGCAGCGTTGTCGCCGATTCCCCCATTCGGCCCGACACTGCATGCGGCATCATTCGCGTGCGCACGGAAGCACCGCCGACGAACTGACACCCACCGAGAACATCGAGCGAAGCACGAGGACGCGATACCTACAAAAATATGTGCGGCATGCTACGCGTACTGTGCCGCCACCACCCCTGTGCTGAAGGGCAGAAGGGATGCAAAACTCTTCATCCCCAGGCCGAAAGTTTTTTTCTCTTGCATGGGAACGCATGGATGCATTTGGATCCAATTACGTGTGTGCGAGAGTCACGTGGATCCAATTTGCGTGTCTTCTGGATCCAATTTTTTGGCGTGGAAGCTCGGCGGATCCAATTCTTTTGCTGGAATGAAATTATGAGAATAATTCCGACACGGGGACCCAAGGGGAAGTGGATCCAACCTTGGACCTGCAGCCCAAGCTATGATTCTACGGGGGAGGGGTTTCCCTACCGAAAGGACACAACACGCGGGGACGAGTAGGGAAACACAAACCCAAGTCGGGAGCTCGAGCGCCACAGCGGGCCTGGCCACCTCTCCGAACCCCTCCCATAACATGTCGTTGATCGAGCGCCACAGCTGCCCCGGCCAACTCCCGCAGCCCCCATAACATGTGGGTGCTCGAGCGCCACAGCGGGCCTGGCCAACTCACGCAGCCTCCCATAACAGATGCCGCACCCCACCGCGACGCGAGCGCGATATGATCGCTGCGTCCGCATCCGCTAAAGACAACGACACTTCGCATTTGTCATTTTGGCCTCAAGAAGAAAATCTTTCGGCCTGCTCAAACGGGGGTTTGACCCCCGTCTCCCCCGCCAACACGTGCAGCGTTGTCGCCGATTCCCCCATTCGGCCCGACACTGCATGCGGCATCATTCGCGCGCACACGGAAGCACCGCCGACGAACTGACACCCACTGAGAACATCGAGCGAAGCACGAGGACGCGATACCTACAAGAGTATGTGCGGCATGCTACGCGTACTGTGCCGCCACCACCCCTGTGCTGAAGGGCAGAAGGGATGCAAAACTCTTCATCCCCAGGCCGAAAGTTTTTTCCTCTTGCATGGGAACGCATGGATGCATTTGGATCCAATTACGCGTGTGCGAGAGTCACGTGGATCCAATTTCCGTGTCTTCTGGATCCAATTTGTTTTGGCGTGGAAGCTCGGCGGATCCAATTCTTCTGCTGGAATGAAGTTATGAGAATAATTCCGACACGGGGACCCAAGGGGAAATGGATCTACGGAGCCTTGGACCTGCAGCCCAAGCTATGATTCTACGGGGGAAGGGTTTCCCTACCGAAAGGACACAACACACGGGGACAAGTAGGGAAACACAAACCCAAGTCGGGAGCTCGAGCGCCACAGCGGGCCTGGCCACCTCTCCGAAACCCTCCCATAACATGTCGTTGATCGAGCGCCACAGCTGCCCCGGCCAACTCCCGCAGCCTCCATAACATGTGGGCGCTCGAGCGCCACAGCGGGCCTGGCCAACTCACGCAGCCTCCCATAACAGATGGCGCACCCCACCGCGACGCGA